TCTTATCTAAACTTAAAAATAGAAATGCTCCAAATAATTATCTAATCATTAATGGAGCGAGTGCAGAGAACTCACCTCCTGAGAGAAGAAATATTCTTTGTGATGAGAAGCTAATAAAATTAATCATGAAATAAATGCTTCCTGAACATTAAACAGGGGACAGAGGATCTGAGATCAGGGACCTGACAAGCCCTCCAGGGAGTCAGTTGGATAAAAATACTATCGAGTGGAAGTTGTGCGACTTTTCAGAATTACTTGGGAATATAAAGAAGTGTGGCCATCAGGGGGTTCAGAAAGCAGTAAAAATTATTATTATTAAATTGAATTTGAAGACCAAACCAAACATTTATTAAAGGTTGTACATTTATACATATTAAGCTTTGACTTGTGAGTTTTCCTGAGCCTGAAAAACAATCAGTGAAAGTGTCATGTGACACTTGTGGGGGTTTATGAGACTCATACTTGGGGTGGGGAGAATGCAAGAGAAAAGCCCATCATGATGTGGCAGCAGCTTGCCACACTTTTTACTAGGGTCCACCAATATTAAATTTCAAATATAACCCTTGAGCTGCCATGGATTCTACTAAGGCATCTTTGGATTAACCACCCATGTGAAATTTCTCAAACTATTATAAATAACACAACAAAGTCTCAGGAGCATAATCACAGGTGCTAATGTTATTAATTTCCTTCAGTCTCGAATATTTCTTTAAGTCTCTTTGCTTTTTGACTGTGGAAGTCCCCTGTCCCACACCATCGCCATTCAGAGTCCTCTTGGATTCTGTTTTCCAGGAACAGTAGGAGACACCCAGGAGCTGTACTCAGCAGCAGATCTGCTTTTCCAAAACAAAGCTCCCTTTTTTGTAGCAAGAGGAGTGATTTCACTTCATTATGTTGATAAAAGGCACCCATTGACTCACCTCAAACCAGAGATTCCCATGAGTGAGGATGGCATCACTGAGCAAGGGCCTACTGTGTCCCAGAAACTCAATTAGACACTTACTAAACAATTTCCTCTTTATCTCACAATAACCCCCAAGATGGGTACTCCTCCTACCCGGTGATAGCTTGGTGTTATAGAGATCCTCCATGTAACGAAAAGGATGATGTGCTCCATCACAGCAGAGGCAGCGCAGGAAAAATGGGAACTTCCAGGTCACCCTGCTCATGGCAAGCAGAAAAAGCATCTGCTAAGCCTAACAATACCTGACAATTCTAGGGAAAATTCTACGAAGTGCAAAAGTAAAAGTATAATAGTTAATAGGGAAATTAGGACACACATACATTAAGCACCAATCTAGCTTAAAACTGAAAATAAAATGTGACATTTTTGGTATCATTGACACAGTGTTCATGTAAGAAACTTAACAAATGATACATTATTGATCAGATGAATGAAATTAGTCAAGCAACTGACCAAATGCTAGTTTGTCCGTACTAAGAACTAGAATTGTCTAGAGAAGGAAAGCTCATGTGGACTTGGGAGGGATTTGAACTGGGTGTGAAAGCAAGAGAAGTTATTAGAATTACCAATGAGAACTGAAGTCACACAAGGTAGAAAGAACCCTAACCCTATCCCATCCCTTAACCCTAAATTTAACTCCTAATCCTACACCCTAATCTTAATCCTCAACTTTAATCCTAACCCTTAATCTTAACCCTAACCATAACCTTAAGCCAGAAGCCTAACTAACCCCTAACCCTGTCAAAGGCCAGAGTCTCTTTCTCGGTCCCCTTATGTGACCCCAATCCTCTCTTCTCTCTCTGCTTCTCCCTCACAGCCTCTGCCCTGAGCTCCTCTCTCGTGTTCGCATTTGCCCTCATCTTGAACCCTCTTGAGCCAGCAGTTCTCAGAATGCCTTGAAGCTGGCATTGATTTTACTAAGGCATCTTTGGATTAACCAGGAATGTCTCTGTCCTTTGGTGGCGAGTGGAAAAACTGTTTGTTCTATGGATCATTTTAGGCTTTTGCAAGGACAGTCATAAATTATTCTTAAATGAGACAGATATCTCCTACTCGCAAATAGCCATGAAGAAAGCTTCCCATGGAAAAGCTGGCATTCAGAAAACCCCTTCAGGGTGTCCAGAAAGACATTCCTAGCAGGTTCTCACAACAATCTTTCAACTCCCCAAAGGCCTCTGCCCAACAGTCAGGGCCAAGTGAACAGTCCTTGCAGCACCCAGTGACAGGGACCCTCCACTACCCCCAAGGTTACTCAGGACACTGACACTGAGGTCTTGCTTCCCAGGGATCAGTAAAGTATCTTCCACCTCAGGTTCCTTGAATGAGTTCCAGCTTGGCTTCTGTCAGAGACTCCTGGCATTGGAGTCACTTTGCAATTTTTTTCATGACAGGTGAAGAGTTGCCCCAGTTCAGAGCAATGAATCAGCAGATGTTTAGAAAAAGCCATACCTCCAGCAATGAGAAAGGACTGTTAATGGTGGCCATGCTTTTGCACTGCCTGCTGTTTGAATGTGGAGGCCCCTGCCACACCATGGGTGTTCAGTCTTGTCCGCTTGGATTCTCTTTTCCAGGAACAACAGGAGACACACAGGAGCTGTGCTCAGCAGCAGATCTGCTTGTCCATAGCAAAGCTCCCTTTTGTAGTGAGAAGAGGGATTTCACATTCTCAGTGGAGCAATGGTTTCTGTTTTGTTACTGTTCTCAAGCCACAACACGGCCCTTGACACCAATGATGAGCTGCCAGGCTGATCTCTCATGAAAAATACAAGTGCAAGCTCTGTGGGGACATAGCACCTTGTATGTCCCCAACTGCCCAACCCTTCAGGTGCAAAGAAGCTCACAGAAGATCCGGAGGTGGAGGCCAGGGAACAAGGGTCGAGGGGCATGTTGAGCCATCTTGAGCAGGAGTCCCTGGAAGAAAGGCCTCAGGCTTGTGCTGGAAAGTGCCTTTTGAGGTGCTGGCACCAGTCTTTAATAAGAAAAAATTCTCTTGTGAGGGTGGAAACTTTTTTCCTCTGGGATTTAAGAAGCCTGGGCCTAGGAATTCACTATTTGGATGGTAAAAATCTTGCTTATTAAAAATAACATTTCTCCTTTAAAAACACCCTGTCTAAGGACAGAACACGAACACAGGAAAAGGCTGGAGAGATCTGAAGGAACGATTTTTGGTTTCCGAGACCACAGCAGCTACCTGTGTTGACTCTACAACTCCGATAACTTCACTTCCTGCCCAGGTGTTATGTCCCGGGGAAAGTGGGGGAAGACAGTCCCAGCCCTGGGAAGCCTGCTCTCCTGAGGTAACAGCCTGGCCGCACGCAAGGCGGCAGGTGCGCCAGCCTTCCACTGAAGGAGGGGCAGGTTCGGGGCCTGGCACCGGCAGCCGCGTGGCACCTGTCCCAGAACTCTCCTCCAATAAAGAGCCATTGTGGGATCTGGACCTTTCCATGTGCAGGACAAATGGCTAAAATGAAAAGCACAATGCGTGTGAGTGGAAACAGAAACTCGAACACAGTGGTAATCTCTGCCTCAGCACAGACCACACTATTTATTCAGGAAACTTCACGCTGTCATTCAGTCCTTGCCGGGGGTCATGGTGCGGATTTCCATTGATCAGTTGATAAGTGAGAGTGATTGCTACGACCCCCATTAGGGGATAGGGCTTACCTGCATGGGGAAGAGCCGCGGAGAATTGCTTGGGGGAGGTGGGGAGGAATTGGCATCCACCAGGAAGAGACAGAACATCTGAGAAGAGGAGGAAGTACCCAGCCCTGTCCTGGGTGAGCCATGCAAGGCCCTGTTCAGCTCGTGGGAAACTTGAGACTGTAGGGAAAGGTGTGAGAAACTAAGTGGAACCCAGGCGTCGGGCTTCCCAATGGCTCTGCTTTCTATGGAGGGTGAGGCTGAGGCTGAGGTCAGGCAGGGGTGGACGTAGAGGACCCCGCAAAGGGGGCTGGTGGGGCAGCTGACACCCGGTTGTTGAGTTTCAGGCCCCGAGGACTGCAGATGAACGTGTAGTTCCAAACGTGTAGGGGCTGGCGGGAGACAGGGTGCTAAGTCGGACTGAGCTACATTTTCCATCTGGGCGACCTGGAGTGACTCCGGGCAACAGCCAATCCCACTCCAAAAAGGAAAATTAAAAAAAACAAATGCTGCTCTAAGCTAAGCGTTCTCATATGACCAGGAAGGGACTGTAGAATTAGACACCATAGCCCAAAGGAAATCTGTTCTTTTAGCTCAGGCAATTCACTGCGTCCCATGTTCTTGCATTTTAGGACTAGGTTTTTCTACTTCTGAGCAAATCAGATCTTTCAGTGAATTAATTTTTATCAGAAGCATGTTCTGCCTGAAGAAGCTCTTTTCTTATCTAGGGATTAGAATTGGTCATAAGTCTTCAGGTACTTGATCTACTTACTTTCTGACTTCAAGACATTGGTCTCTATCTAAGTATCACTTTATTTTTTTTTTAAATTTAATTTTAATACCAAGAATACTTTTATTTATTTATTTATTTTTTGAAGATTTATTTATTTATTTATACAAGCACTGGGTACAGTCAGAAGTGCGGGAGGGTGAGAGAATTCACCAGAGCCGGAGCGGGGAACAGAACAGGCAGACAGACGGAATACACTGCTGAGGGGAGCAGTGGGCGGCAGGAGAGGTCTGCGCACCATGTGGGACCCTCGCCCAGCGGCTGGGGATCGAACCGGCGCTGCAGAGGCTGCAGGCAGCTTCGCAACCCAGCGCTCTACCACTGCGCCACTGAGGAGGCCCCTCTAAGTATCACTTTAATACAAACATCCCCAGTGCCTATGAAACGAAGCAACTATTTCAACAAAAAGGCCATTGGATTCAGTTTCCCATTTTGGCTTGTCAGTCATCATATTTGCCCCGCAGAGCTCTACCACCCCAAGCAGTCTGCAATACCTGGTCGTTTCAAATGTGTGTCATTGGTTTCTTTCAATGGGTGACTATGCCTTTGCAGTGCAAAGCTCACGTCTGACTGAAAATACAAACAAATGATTTGTTATCCGCTCACCTGAATTAAGCAGAATGATGGATTTGAGGCATACAAACTCTTCTCCTTGGAGATTCATCATACGAAACCGAGACGAGGTTGCCAGCAACATGTCAAAAATCTCCACCATGCCCTCTACACATTTCCCCTGGTTCCTATGAAAACAGAAAAAAATAAAAAAGAAGAAGAAGAAGAGAGAAAAGCACTAAAGGAGGAAGGACAGAGAAGTTTCCACAGGACATGGAATGATTCACATTCATGAAAATCCGTGGCTTCAAATCTGTAACCAAAAAAAATTCAGCCCATTCCCTACAGGGAGCACGAACATGCATTTGAATTCTAAGGCAAGTCAAAAAAAAGATTTTCCATGAATAAAACATTTTCATTTCAAATTCTTAGGAGAGCTGTTCAACATATTGCTGTAGGGTTCTTCAGTCGATGCATAATCAAAATGACTAGGTAAATGATTTTGTGTAATATTTATTGATCTGCTACTAAATTCTCGACTTTGTGAGGGTGGTGGCATGAAAACAGGGCCTCCACTGTCAAGATGCTCATGGCCTTGAAGTAATACAGCTAGGCACAGAAACTGTGGTAGAAACTGTGGTAACTAAGACAGGATTTGTGCTGGACCATGACTGTTGCTGAGAATGACAGGTAAGGACTTGCCTGGCAGGCAGCATGAGTTGATTAAGAAATTTCAGACTTCATGGAAGGAAAGCGTGAAAGTGTCACTGTTCCCCCTGAACAGGGGAAGAGGAGGAGCAAGAAAAAAAATGGAAGCATGTACTAGAGGCGAGGAGACAGATGAGTCTGGGAAAGACGGTAAAGGACAGGAGATGAAGAATGTCTTACGTTGCTGTCAGAAGTTTGGGCTTTTTCCTTGCACAACAGAACCTTGGTGTCAAAGATTTCACACTGATAGTTGCAACTATTAAATAAGCAAACTCAAAGTTCATTGCATGTAATATTTTTTTAACTATTAGTGTTTTTTCCCCCATAGGGTTGTTACAGAAGTTAAATGAGATAATGCACATGAAAGGAATTAATCCATTTTTTTGTTGTTGTTCACAAGCTAGAGGTGGGTTATGGTATGTTTGAGGGGGTCAGAAAGAAATAAAAATGGTCTAATGCATAGTCTAGACATATACTTGTAAATTACAAAATCATTTCATTTCAAACATGAACACCAGAGACATTGTTCACGCCTTTTTTATTTCCTCTTATTAAGGTATCTTGGAGTTCTTCCTCAACTATTCTTAACAGTTGCACCGTTTTTCACTGAATGCTATTATTTCTTTAACCACTTCTTTGTCAGCTAATATTTACTTTGATTTCAAATATTTTGCTGTTACAAACATTTCATGACTAATTTTATGTCTATAACACTCAACACATGTATAGAGAGAACTACTAAATAAATTCCTAGAAGCAGATTTGCTAGATCAGAGGACTTACTTTTTTCTTAATTTTGATGACTTATTTAAATGTTGCTTCAAAGAACTTGTATACCATTATGCTATTGGTAGGAAAACATATTGATATAAGCTCTTCCTCTGGGCTGCCTGCTTTTGTCCTTTGCACATAATTTTCTGTGGGATTATTCATCATTTTCACATTGATTCTTAAGAGCACTTTATATATTACAGTAATAAACATTTATGTGCTTTCAATGCTCTTCTAATGGCTTGTCATGTTTTTCTTTTAATTTTGTTTTGAGATGGCTTCTGAAAAACATTCATTTATTACATAATCCAATTTTTCATTTATGGATTTAGAATAGTCTATTGGGCCTCCCCTGGTGGGCACCACGCTATGAAGCTCCCCGCAGCCTCTGCAGCGCCAGTTCAATCCTGGCTGGCCGGTGAGGGTCCCACATGGTGCACAGATCTCTCCTGTGGCGCCTGCTGCTCCCCACAGCAGTGTATTTTGTCATTCTGCCTGTTCTGTTCTCCGCTCTGGCTCTGGTGAATTCTCTCACCCTCCCGTGCATCTGGCCTGTACCCCAGTTCTTGTATAAAATAAATAATACTAATAAAAAATCTTTAAAAAAAAAAGAATAGTGTATCTTGCATGTAAAGGCCATCTCTCCTTCCAATAACAATTAAAAAACACCTTCTGATACCTTCTGATATAGTTTGAAGGTTTTTTTTTTTTTTGTTTAAATCTTCCATCTTTGGGGATTTACTTGTATATCAAGTGTATAGTAATATAATCACATATCATATAATTCACCTATTTAAGTGTAAAATGTAATAGCTTTTAGTATATTCACAGAGTTGTGTAATCAACATTTGGGGTTTACTTTGGTTTAATAAGTGAGACAGAGGTTTAGATTAGTATTCTTTCTCAGGCAGCTGATTAGTTTTTTTTTTTTAACACTGTTTATGGAATAAACCATCTTTTTACATGAAATATGCTAGATATGCTAAATATGCCCACTTGAAATATGCTAGATACTTTTGATAGATTCATTTTCTCCTTACAGCTGTTCTCTATGGTTAGTGATATTTCTCCAATTTCCAAATAAAGGAATTAAGACTCAAACTGTTAAGACAAACCATCCAGAAGAAAGAATTCCAACAATGACATTTTCTTTCTCCTCCTTTCTTTTTCTAGTTTAACCCATCCAAAAAAAAATTTACTGAGAGCCTATTATATACTAGCCTGTGTGCCAGGCATTAGGGAACAGAGAAGCAAGCCAGGGGCCTGCTTAAGAAAGAGATCTGGAATATGAGCAGGGAAAAGACAGTTGCAATGTGGGGGGACGCACACCCTAGAGCACATATGGACAGAAAGTCCCTGACATCTGATGTCAGTCCCTCCAAATGTGATCCATGACAACATGGAAGAAACCGTCAGTGTATTCTCAGGTGACGGTGAATGAGTGTTTATGTTAAGAGCTTAGAATTGTGTGCAGCAAACATTAGGGGCTTTATTTAAATGTTAGCTATAAGATTTTGATAAATACATACATTCACACGCAGATTGGCCTTTGCACCAATTGAAAAGGGACAAGAAGTAGGCAGAGAACTATTGGCATGGGGCATTTTGTTTTGATTGCAGAAATTAGGGTACATGGAAGCTCTCGCCAGTAGAAGGGAATCTTCAAAAGTTATATCATTCAAAGGGTGATCACATCAAATGGGGACTTGGCCTGGAGCAGGGAGAACAAACTAGAAATGAGTTTTTTCTTGTCCTGTAGTTGAATTTTTCAAAGTAGCACATTTTCTTTCTAGTGAAAAAAATAAGCAAGGATAGGAGAACATGTTTAGAGGATGAAGTATTAAAAATAACAACTCATAGCCAAAATAGAGAAATGTTCCTTTCTCAGTAAAAGTCTCTGTTTACTTAACAGACTGCAGGACCACAGGGGAGGCCTCCGAGAGTGGGAGGGAGGCTGCAACCCCCCACTGTGAGCAAAAGTTCAGTTCAGAACTGAGAAAGTGGAGTCTTCACAATTCTCCTTTCTTCTCGTCCCTTGTCAGTAGTCTCCCATATTTTCCCATGAGGAGCATGTTCTTAACTGCCAGCAAGAGTATATTCTTCTCAGCCTCTTCTTGCTGGATATCCTATAATTTCTAGCTAGCAGTTATTACCCATGGGCAGTAGACTGCTTGCTCTTCAGTACACAGAAGGGCATAGACGGAGCCCTCAGCAATGGTTCAGACACACCTGTGTGTGTGTGTGTGTGTGTGTGTGTGTGTCTGTGTGTGTTTGAGCATAGCATACAGATGATGGAGACGTGGTGGTACAAACGCCCTGTGGTTCACCTTTCATGCACACGGAAGTGTTTGTCTCTACTTTGAGGGTTCCTGGAGAATTCCCAAGGTGTGGAGCTGCCTTGGCGTACCTGCCTATTCTTCATAGTGTTTTGAGTCTAAAAGAATTTTATGCCAATGTCTCCTGAAGAATGAACTCACTAGCATTTCAATGGGAAAAATTACTTTGGGCTAAACACTTGAGTTAATCCAGGATTTGTGCAATAAATAAAAATCTTATATTTGGGCCTCCCTGGTGGCGCAGGCAGTTGAGCGCAGCGCTGTGAAGCTGTCGCAGCCTCTGCAGTGCCAGTTCCATCCCTGCCGGCCTTGGAGCAACCCACATGGCGAGCAGACCTCGCCTGTCTCACCCGCTGTTCCCCTCAGCAGTGTATTTCATCAGTTTGTCCGTTCTGTTCCCCACTCTGTCTCTGGTGAATCCTCTCACCCTCCCGTGCATCTGGCCTGTGCCCCAGCTCTTGTATAAATAAAATAAATCTTTAAAAAAAATCTTATATTTTATGGTCCCATGGATATTTTTGGTAAATCATTTGAATGGCCTGGACTGACATGACTGACATGGGTTGTATACGTGGGTCTCTCACTAGCGTCATCACAGGAGACAAGGTGGCTGTGGCAAGTGGACCCTTGCCCCCCTAACACACTCCATGGGCATTGAAGATTGGGGACATTCTTATCACCTCCAGATACAAAGTCCCCCTTTACTGTCCATAGAGGTCATTCCACGTTGGGGTATGGGCTTCATTTTCAGAGTCCTGTGGAAATGCTCTATACTACCTTCAGGAGCCAGTAAGAGTAGTGCCTGCAACTATATTCAGAAGGTTACAGATGACCACAGCATCAAGAAAGACTCCAAAGACCCTGGAGGTAACATCGCCACAATAAGACAAGATTAGTCTAAACTCATGCAGTAGTCCTGAGACTGGGAAACACAAGGATATGGAAGGAACGAGCTACTTTTAAAGGAAGCACAGACTGAGTCATGGGTGAGAAGGAGTTCAGCAAACAACCAGCCCGTGACTCCACTCTGAGGTGGGATGGCCTGCCTCAAACTCCTCTGCCAGTTACATTGGTTTAGAGTTCAGAGCACTTCAGCATTCCTTTGTGAGGAAGACTTATTCTGCTGTGTACCCCCTTCAAATACAGTCTGTTTGCATTTTATAAGGAGGGAGGTGGGCAGGACTCATTGTGCATCCTGGAAGTTTCTTTTACAGAAATGGGAACCTATTTTTTTCAGAAGCCAGGAAGTACCTACCCATCCCTCCACATCAGAAATAAAGGGCCCTGGGGAGGGTGTGCAGATAAAAGCTGCCCTAGTATATTTAAAAAATAATCTTAAAAATGGTGTTATCCCATTGCCTCTCCTTCTATAA